CATCAGTGCAAGCTTCGAGGGTCTTTCTTGTTGAAGCAGAGTGTGTGTTCCCACTCGAACTTTCGAAGAACAGCCCTTACTTCCATCAGTGCAAGCTTCGAGGGTCTTTCTTGTTGAAGTAGAGTGTGTGTTCCAGCTCGGACTTCTGAAGAGCAGCCCTTGCTTCCATTTGGACTTCCAAGGAACAAACCTCGTTTCCATCAGCGTGAGCTTCGAGGATCTCTCTTGTTGAAGTAGAGTGTGTGCTCTCACTCAGACTTTCGAAGAACAGACCTCGCTTCTATCAGTGCGATCCTCAAGGATCTTTTTTGATGAAGTAGAGTGTGTTCTCCCACTCAGACTTTCGAAGAACAGCCCTCGAGACTCAGTGGCCTATCAGAAGGGATCTTCTTGCCAAAGTAGGGTGTATGCTACTATTCAAACTCCTAAGGGACAGCCTTGCTTCCGTTTGGACTTCCGATGGACAACTCTTGCTCTCATTAGTGCAGGTCCGAAGAACAGCCCTTGATTTCATCAATACGAGCTCCGAGGATCTTTATTTTCAAAGTAGAGTAGACTCTTACTTGAACTCCCGAGAGATAGTCTTTGCTTCTATTAGCTGCCGAAGTAGAAGTGCGCATCCACTCTGACTTCCGATGGAGAGCCTTGTTGCCGCTCGGACTTCTGAGAGAGAGCCTTGTTTCCGCTCGAACTTCTGAGGGACACCTTGCTTCTGCTCGGACTTCTGAGAGACAATCTTTACTTCTATTGGTGCAAGCTTTGTAGACTCGGTTGTCTTTCAGAGGGATCTTTCTTGCCAAAGTAAGGTGTATGCTACTTTCAGACTCCTATGGGACAGTTTTGCTCTCGTTCAGACTTCCGAAGGACAACCCTTGCTCTCATTAGTGAAGATTCTGAGGGCCTCGGGGTCGTAGATTTGGCACAAAAAATTATATGCCTGAAATAGTAAAACCGACAAATGAGACGAGCAATATCAATTTCATATTCTGATTCAGGCATTATCGGAATAGGGCAACATCAACAAACAATAATGATCTATTTAAGTTACAACAATTTTATTCCTTTGAGCGAGTTCATGAAAAATGCAACAATCAAGTTTTTGTCTCTCCAGACCGGTTCCTCTTAGGCCGAAAAGCAACAATGTTCAAACAAAATGTCAGCATCAACTATTTATTTCTCTGATGATCTATGAGTTCAACAAACAACAATATATCATTTTTTATTCTTTGACAAGGGACAAGTTTCAAAACATGAATTTTAAGACTACATTTCTCATGCAAATCAAAGTTCAACAAGGGCTTTATTTCCCTCAACAACCAAGCACTAGCTATTCAGAAGTCAAGAACACAAATCCCAAATTTATTTTTTGCAAGCCCAGGTTCATGAGCAACAATATATATATATATATTTATGTATCAGAAAAAACATTCAAGAATGGGGTTTCGGTGAACACTTACTCACAAATTCGAAGGAGTAGGAAGAGAGTGAAGACCAAAAGCGGTGTAGGTCAAGAATGACAGCACGGACATTGGGCAAGAAAGGAGATAGGCAAACCGACGCCGCGTTGAGTCGGCGACGTGGTCCGCGTTGATTAATCACGGCCGAAACCAGTGAGTATGCAAAAAACTGAGATCTATATGATTCAAACTCTGAAAAATGGCGCCGGGCTGTGAGAATAACGAGCTGGATGGTGTTAGGCAAAACCACACATATCGCGTTGAGTGGGCGACGCGTGGTTCACGCTGAACAGCCGAAGACGAAGGCAAAGCGCTGGACAACCAAAGACGAAGGCAAAGTTGTAGCAGAGAAAGGTGGACAGCAGCTTGGGTCACAACGTTTGCAACAGGTGGTCGCCGGAGGAGTAGTAACGAGATCTGGTGTATCTAAAGCTTAGATGCTGCATTATTGGGCCAAGATGAAATACCAACAACAGTGGTGTAGGTCTTCGGTGATGGTGATGGCGTCCGGAGTTATAGCAGCGGCAATGATCTTCAATGGGATGCAAAAGCAAGATGCAGCTTTGGTTCTTTGAAGAAGATGGTGAACTGTTCATTTTCAAAGAAACAAACAAATGGGTTTCAAATTTTAGAGAGAGAAAAGGCATACCCAAAAAAATAAATAAATAAATAAAATAATAGAAGGGTTTTGTTCGTAATCAAATTCGAGCACTAAACAATGAAGATTTCTGAGCAGAGTAAAGTGGCAGCAGAGAAATTTCACTATAATGAAAAAGTTGAATCCGGATATGAAGAATGCGATTCTCATGATTCAGATGAAGATCCAACATATGAGGTTGTCGATAAGATTCGATGTAGATTTTCAAGGCTATCCACCAAGAACAAACCCAAATCACGTAAAATTAAGGAAATGGAGCAGGGTAATGAAAAGGACCTAGATGTAGTAGTAGAAATGGTTGTGCCAGTGCTTGGGGTAGAGGAGCAAGGCAAAGCCGCGGTGCGAACAAGGCACGCGCGAGCCGACAGCGCTCAGTTGAGTAGATCAGCGGCACAAGACGTGAGTAGCATGCGTAAGGTCAACACAAGCAAGGCCGCGACGGATAGGGCTGAGTCACTGCGTCCCTAGGCTGTGGTTGACGGCGGCAGCAAGCGGTGTGCAAGCGACGGAGTAGTTGGGCAGACCGACGCCGCGTTGAAAGGGCAGCATGGTCAGCGTTGATCAAATCACGGCTGAAGGTAGTGGCGAGGTTGCAGGACGTTAGCAGCATGAGCAAGCAGCTACCGTGACGAGCTGGTGCTGGTACTGGCCAACCGTGAGAGTGGCGTGGGTCTTCGATGGTGTTGCTTGGAGCTGCGCCGGCCAGCATGCAAATGGCGTTAGCCTCTGATTTGTTGAAGAACAAAAAGCCTGGGTTGGTCTATATAGAGAGAGAGAGCCGAAATATTTGTGGGCAAGAAGATAAGGCAGCAGTTAGGGTTTTGTCTTTATCCTAAAAAGGATACAAAAAATGGCCTCAACGTGCTCAGGCTAAGGCTATGTATCAAAAGGACCTCTAATGCATCTTTAATTTGTTTTTTCTTCTTTTTTTTTTATCTTTTATTTTACTGTTTATTTTTTTTTTTAATATAGGTGACAGCTCATTAGAGCTGCACTGTTGCAGCTCTAATTAGAGCTCCGGAGCATGACCCGGCTATGTATATATATAAAGGGCCAAGCACTTTATGGGTTTTGAATTTCATGGACGAAAACGGTGCATCTTCATTTATTTTATAGAAAAAAAAATATGTTGAGAATATGCCAAATATTTGAGAAGGAATATGCTGGGAATATGATTTGGCAAAAAAGTGGTTAAAGATGGAGGACTTTTTGTCTTGGATATATATATATATATATAAATAAAGTGGAAAGTGATTCCGCTGTATTCTAAAAAAATGTGGCCTTATCTAGCCAAGAAAAAAAAGAAAAGAAATGGATTTCTTAATTCTTGTTTCTTTTACTTGGAGTAAAAAAAGTTTTGTATTTTCCAATACTTGGAGAAATACTTGGGGAAGCGAAAATGTAATTATCAATATTCTAAGTTGTTGTAAAAAAAAAAAAAAGAAAAAAAAAAAAGATATGCTTATTCATTTATTTTATTTTATTTTTAATATTACTTGTCAATTTTATCTGTAAATTACGGTGAGCCCTCAGTTTTATTCATGGACTCTGTAAAGACCAAATATTTCTAAAGACGTAATGCGAAGCATGGCTGACAATGTGAAGCTATGCATGTCCGAGAAAACTACAATTTCTCATACACGCAATGGGCAAATGTAAGAGGAGCTAATTTGAGTCCACTAAATTAATTAGGCCCAATAGTCCAAGATTAGTGGACCCGAATTTATCGCAAGTCCAAGATTGGTGGGCCCGGATTTATTGCCATCAAACGAGCCGAATCTCTGTAAGCCTCGAAAGGGTTCGGATCCACGAACTTAGAGACTTACTCAAACTCAGACTTGAAAGGGTTCGGATCCACGAACCTAGAGATCCGAAGCACTTGGCTTTGAACGGATTCAGATGCAATCTAGAAGCCGCTCCATTAATGAGTCCCAGAACACTTGCGGACTCGGAGCTTTCCGGGATCTACGTACCAGAACCATGGGCGTAATGGATCCGAACAAAGGACCCGATCCTGAGGACGATGAGTGGAGATAAATTCACTCTTCGGTTAAACTAGCCTATACCCGGGTCGAGGTGGCACGATCTAGGGGGTCCCTGAGACTCGGCAATATTTGCGGCAGGGCGTTCTCTTGAACTACCCCTAACCCTTATGCGGCAGGATGTCCTCTGGGACTACCCCTGACCCTTTGGGATGATTGGGGATCATTGGTTAGGTGTGGCTAAGAAGAAGGATTCGCCGAGAGGTTGATCTCCTCTTTGGGGTTTTCCTCATCCACGAAGAAGTCACCTCCTCGAACAAGGTGGTTAGAGAGAATATTCCCCATGTGCCTTGCACATGGGCTCCATCCTACATCATGAGGTGCCTATAAATAGCACCCATCCATAGCTTTACAAGAGATGGGTTTTTAGAGAGTTAACTCTTAGGAAAGAACTAATTTCCCATCTCCATTATCAACCTTGAGAGTGAAAGTGGGAGATCCATGGGAGAGCCTTGCCATTATTCTCTCTCTAGCCATTTTGCCTTCTTCTTCACCCAATCTCTTATCTCCATCATCTCCTTTACTCTTGTGTTCTTGAGTTGAGACTATTGAAGAATCTAAGCCTCTCATCATCTTTTAAAGAATTCGAAGTTGTTCTTCAAGGATCTTCGAAGGTCTTCGAATTCTCCAACGACGTTCTTGAACCCTCTCCTACAGGCTCAAGCAATCGGAGGAGCCTTAGTCGAGCTTAATCAACTTGATACACTACTTAGAATAGAATCCCAATTATTTAGCAATGCAAAGTGGAAGGTATGCTTACCTATGTCTGTTATTTTTGTTGAAGGTTAGTTGAGCTTAAAGAACTTGATACACTACTCAGAACAGACCTTTATTTTTTTTTTGTCATAGGTTTGCTTTAGCGATGATTTTAAGAAATCAATGGCTAGAATAAAGAATGTAGATGTCCGGAAGGAAGTGCTTTCCCTTTTAGAAAAGCTTTCAAGTGGGTGGCGACTGCATCATGAAAAGGACAAAGTTCTCGACATGAATGGGACTTCTTCTGAGCTGTTGGAGCTGGACAAGGTCAATGGATTACTGAATCTCGCTTGGAGCGTGGACATTGTCAAAGAAAACTCAGAAGACGTCCAGGTTCTAAAGGTCTGGGACATTCTTCCATTGTCTGACATACCAAAACTAGCAAACTGTCTTGACACTGTATTTGGGAATTATACAGTCGATTTTATGAACCGCTGCAAATGCAAAAGATTTGGAGGGTGTTAGTATATACTTATTACTTGTATATAGTTGTTAATTATAGCTTTACACACTTTAGCTTTAAGCTTTATTCTTTTAGCTTTCACTTTCGGTGGTGGTGGGTTTGGTATCCAATGCACCATTTCTCTCTATATAGAGAGAGTTCATCTCTTTGTAATCATATACAATACAGAAATACATCAATCTTGTAATATATACATATCAATAATAATACATCAATTTATCTTACAGAGGGTATGCATGATATGTATCTTCCTTTTTTGACTTATTTTTCTCCCAATTTTATTGATCTATTTACTCGTACACATGATTTAGAAGCCATAACTTTTATTTTTTTTCTTTATTTTCTTTTTTTCTCTATTGGCGCAGGAATTTAGCAATCCCAGTGACATGGCCAGCTGACTCAAGTGCTGGTAGGAAGACTTTTTTGGCTGATGATGATCATATGTGGTTCTTAGAAAGCCAAGTAGCTTCACTAACGCTGTGTTTGGTTGGAGGATTTGAGGAGGGATTTAGAAAGAGAAAGGGAAAAGTTAGGTGAAATGTGAATAAAATGTACCTACATTTCACATAGTTTCACACACCTTTTCCCTTTCCCTTTCCAAATCCCTCCCCAAATCCCTCAACCAAACACAGCATAAGTCTAAATCATGCGCCAGGATCTTCAACTAATAGGTGAGGGAGAAAAAGCACAAGGAAACCAACATATAACTGTTTATAATCTCTTTCCAAAAAAGAGTTAAATTACTTTTGTGCAAATAGCTGATTTAATTTTCTTTTACTTGTTTGTTTATTTTGTTTTCAATACAATATATAGAAATCGTGTGAGGTCTAAAATGAAGAGTTATGGAAATTACTTTGGAATGAAGAAGAGATGGGACAGAGGAGCACAACAGTAGAGAGTGCAGAACAACATTTGGCTTCATGGGAATATTCGATAAGCAAGAAATCCGCCTACAAACAAAGATTCAAGTCACAGATTGCTGCTATACCCTTGTTTGGTGATGCATTTTGATTTCAAAAAGATTAAAAACATTTTATTGGTTAGACTACATTTATTCAGCTATGGCTAAATTGTTCTAAGTCGTTGCTAGTTAATTGTAATTGGTTTTGTTGCCCTTGTTTCTTATACTAACTTTTTGGTCTCTTCTATTGTTTCATGTTGTTGATATTGATAAGTTGAGGTTTGGTTTATTTGTGTGTTTGGTTCATAAATCATGGAGTTGGTAAAGGTAAACTGAATTATATGTTTCTCTTCTCTCTCTTTCTTAAATTTTGGCTATTTAATATTTTAATTAAGTATGAAAACATGAAATAAAAACAAACTTCCTTTTTCCTTACCATCTCTAAGAATCAAAAGATTTTTGCGAGATGATACACACAGGCATGGAAATATTTCTGTTAGGAATAATGTTGTTTAATCATTGTTTATTAAAAAAAAATTATCGCATTGCTCAATGCTCCACTTTAATAACCAAATAACATTTCAACAAAATACTAAAACAAAATTTGATAAGCCCCACTATAAAAACAGGAGGCAACATTTTTACACCCCTTTTTGCTCAGTTCGCACACTTAAAATTAATAAATTTTAAATTACAATTGTACCATCAACCCAAATGACTAATAAGGTTATTAACAAACATGCCGGAACTATCAATTTTTGTTCAGTAGTTGTTATCCAAAACAAGAGTGAAAATTTTGAATGATGTAATCTAATAGACCTTTCAATTTTTTTGGCAAACTACACATTGCGTCCGAAAGAAACATTAAATTATCTTCCTGACAAAAAAGCCGGCTATTGCTAAACTAACCATTTTTGCTTAGGAAAATGAACTGTAGCTTGAATACTTAGGCTCGAAAACTGGCTCGAAACCCAAAACGACATCGTTTTAGGTTTCTTCAAGAGGAAGAGAAGAAGATGGGTGATGGCGGTGATCGCCGCTTTCAGACTCTGTTTCTCTTTTTTTTTTTTTTTTTTCTGGTAGATCTGAATCTGAAAATGAAAGGGAAAAAAAAAATTTGTTAGCTAATGATGATGTGTTGATGAAGCTGTTGATTTTATTTATTTTATTTATTTATTTATTTTTTCATCTGAATCTAAAGATGAATGGTTGTTTTTGTTTTTGTTTTTTATTTTTTTTGTTGAAGGAACGACTGCAGAAAATGGAGATTCTTGGAAGTGTGCTCCACTGTGGGATCAGTGGTGATTGTTATCCGTGCACCTCAAGAACAAACCCCAAATTCTGTACAAGAAATTTGGACTTTCGCAACTCAACCAGGTTTTGGGTTTAAACTATTTTTGGGTTTGCAACTCAAGCAGCTGCAGTATCAATAGTCATAGCTTTGATTCTGTATTTTGAACCACGCTGTGGGCAGACGCTACTCCCTTGCCTCTTTTCTTCTTCTTCTTCTTCTGCTTCTTCTTCATCTTCATCTTCATCTTCAAAAAAACGAGAATGAAGGAGGAGAAAAAAAAAATTTCAAAACGACGTCGTTTTGGATTCGAGCCAATTTCAAGCTCAACAATTTCCAGCTACGTAGCAGTTCCGTTTTGCTTAATAGAGAAGTCTAACAAGTATCAGTGCTGAATCGAAAGCACTGACAACGGATCCAGCTCTAAACTAAAATGATTACATATCGGGTACAAAGAGCTGAGAAATCAATCAAATCAACATATTTCCAGTAACTGAAACATGCAGGCACATATTGGCCTTGTTTGGTTTGTGCTTCTCAAAAAATTTTAGGAAAAATTCTCTACAAATAAATTTTTAAAAACAATCAAAGCAAACAAATTTTTCCAAAAGTTTTTTCCAAAACTTGTTTGGTTTACAAGTTTTCCAAACAAATCTCCCTCTCATACACATCAAATCAATCACTTTTTCCAAAACTCTCTCTCAAAATAATTTTTCAAAACATCTTTTGAAAAAAAATCAAACCAAACAAATTTTCGTACTTTTTATCTCAAAATATGTTTCTCAAATACAAACCAAACAAGCCCATTGTTTCTTGAACTACAAATTGATTAACAATTATCAAAAAGGCTCAAAAGGCTGAGATGAATTTTTGGATCTTTGTCTGCGCCCTATCCTTCTCTTCTGGCCCATCCAGATCACCAATGTTGTCGTGATATTCCTGTGGTTCAACCCAAAAAAATATTCATAAAAATAAAAAAGCAAAGTCAATTAAATATACAGAATGTTCACTTTTACAATGTCTTCAATAATCTAACCAAAGTTCAGCAAGCCACTGTGTCTATAATTATAGACCATAATCATTCCACAGTGTCTATAATTATCTAACTAATGCTCCCAAACTGCACAAAATATTTACAACTCTGAAACAAACCCAAATTATGGAGAAATGATACCATCAACAACCGCGATAAACATCAGAACTCATTTTATGCAGACAAATAATGGTTGGAGAAGATTAAAAGATTGCCAAGGCTACAAAGAGGAGCAATTAAGCAGCACATACCTGAAGTATATCCTTAACATTGTTCTTGGTGAGTTTATTCTGCTTCAGTAGTAGTTCAATTCTTGTTCTCATTTTTGGGTGCCTGCAATAAATCAGCAATCTCAAACACGGAAACTAAAAGACATAAAGAATTCCAAAAATTAACTTCACTCGAGGAAAAGACAAGAACATAATTTAGAATTCAAAACTTACTCAGAGGTCCAAAGATGACCCAAAATAACAGCAATCAACTGCATGATCATATATAAAAGAGGTTAACTAATTAAATATAAGGATGCCGGAAACTTGACATGTGTAACCAATAAAACAAAGAAATAAAGAGCAGTCAAAGTAAACAAAGACTAATTGGAGATAACTTCTCAAGAAGAAAGCATCCTTGGAGTGTTTCAACACATTGTTTCCACTAAGATTAATGTAAGGTACTTCTCAAAAAAAAGAAAAAAACAGTTAGATTACTGAGGTCTGACCTCACATGATTTCTTATCAAAAATTTGGGATGGATTAACTTTGTAATTTGGAAAGCATTATGTGGCAGGGCACGGCTTGTGTCACTAATCTCAGACAGTGCTTGACAAACTTAACACAAGTTACAAAAAACTCCTTCAAGTTCTTTTTTTTTCTTTTTTTCTTTTTTAGCATCAACAAAAAGTTTCATTATAAATCAGAAAAATGAAAGACAACAAGAAGTCCTCATACAAAGGAGAGAGAACAAAACAAAACAAAAAAACAATACTCCTAGCACTAGGGAAAGCAAACAGCAGCCCAGTTCCTAGAGATCAAAAACAAAGGGACTCCTTTAAAAGGATAGGATACAAATGCCCAAAATGAAGCTAAATATCCCACCCTATCCCACAAAGCCTCTACGTTTAATTCCTTGTCATCAAAGATTCTTGCATTTCTCTCCATCCATAAAGTCCAGAAAATAGCAAAAACAATGCATGACCACAATGTTTTTGGTTCTTTTGGTGCTCCCAAAACCTTTGAACCTAACAAGAAGCATTTGAATGCAATCCCGTGGAACAACCCACTAATCATCACATAAGCTCACCAGCCACCCTTTTGTTAAACCATGTCAGCGATTTATAATACCCTAATCTGAAGTTTAAAGTATATATGCAGAGGATTAGAAACTTGAACAAAAACACAATTAATACAGACTTTGTTTCAAAACAGTTGGATTTGGGTGAGGAAATGAAGTAGACCAGCACCAAGAATAAGGTAATTTTGAGAAACTTCTTATGAGGTGTGATGCTGAAAAGGAACCTTGGGTGAAAGAAACCAAGCTCACTAATGGGATGAGAGGAAAACACATTGGAGGAAGCTTACTGTAAGACTCTAGAGATAGAAGACCAGTTGGTCCAGTTGCTTTGGTTGCCTGCAGGGGTAGCAACAACCCAAACCTAAGAGTCACTAGTACCAAGGGTAAGAAATCCTTTTTTCTCTAGTTCTCATCAGAATACATCTTCCCTTCGATGTCATCATTGTCATGGTAAAAAGCACATTGCCTATCTGTGTCCACATGGAACCTAGATTATTTAATAGAGCAATTTGTATGAGTATATTGACCAAGTAGTTAACCTATTTGAGGCCCTTTCACATTCTGAGGTCGTCAAGATGTTTTGGGAAATGATGGCAACCACACTAGTGCCATAACGGAAGCTGGTCTTCATGGATCATAATTCATTCTATAGGTACATAATTTTCATTTATGGCAACTACGAATTACAACTAGTTTGAGATCCCAAATTAATGCAACATGGACTGTTACGTCAGCATCTTCTGACCAATTTAGAAGGTTTCTTCTTAATTGCTTAATGACAATGTTGAAGTATCATTACAGGCAAGGTTTTAAAAAGCGGCCGCTACCGTTACGTAACGCCGTTACGTAACGGTTTTGGCGGTTACCGCCACCCGTTACAGCCACTTTTACAGTGTGATTAAGATTCATAGGTGTGTCGGCCGTAGTGGCTGCCATAGCGGTCGTAACGGTGCCGTAACGGCCTGTTACGCACCATTATATAATGGTTCCAAACTGTTTCTTTCGAAAAAACACATCGAAAAAACACACAAAAAAAAGTTGAAAATGGGGAAAAAGGGATAGAGAGAAGAGAAAAGAGGGAAGATAAAGAGAGAAAATGGAGGAGTAAGAGATAGAGAGAGAAGAAGGAAGATGAAGAACATGTTATTAATTTGTTGAAACTGTAAGACCTATGTTATTTTATTCCGCTGCTATCACTAAACCATTTTGTTTGTGTTTGTCTATCTATATATTGTTTGAAAATAATAATAATAATAAGTGTGGTCATTATCTATTTAGCTTAGTTAAAATATGTATATATATATATTTAGGCTCTTATTTATTCTCTTACTTTTGTCATTGTTTATCTTATATATAATAGTTAGTGATTGATTTTTTGTATAATATAAAATTATTAATTATTAAAATAAAATGTAAAAACTCAGTTTATAATGATTTAAAAATATGAAATATATTTGACCATACTTAAAAATTTACAAAAATTGATCAATATTTATTTTTAACCCAATAAATATGATCTTGGAAAAAAAATATGCGTATCTGTAAGTTTTTTTTAAATTGTGCGAAAAATAAAAAAATTCACAGTTCCGATTACCGCAACCGTTACACTACGGCCTTTACACCCCGCAATCGCAACCGCGTTACCGCCACCGTTACGGCGACTGCAACCGCTTTTCAAAACCTTGATTACAGGTCATTTACATGACTTGGGACTTGGATGTCATTAATGTGAATCGTCATGAATGAGGGAATTACCAAGTGGTCCTGGGCATTGTAGACGAGAATTCATTATCAAAGTCAAGTTGTATTCACCTCATCTCTAATGCCCATGATCACTAGCTGATCCACTTAAGAAGACTAACATTAGAGACGTCCAAGAACCAAGTGTCACATGAATATGACTTGTAATGATAGTTTGACATTGTATGGCATGCCTAAAATCATGTATTATTATTCTCTACAATTTTGGAGTATGCTTCCCATAAGGTTCGTGATGCCATGCATAAAATCCTGCATAACTAACATTAATTATTAGGACTAACAAGTGAGAAGATCACAACAAATCTCTAACCTGAAGAGTGTAAAGTCCAGATTCTAGCCTTCGATTGTACTTTTCGTCTTCATCCATCTGCAATATTTAAGGCAAGAATATTAGTTTTAGATTGAACATAAGTGAGTTTTAAATATGGTACATGTCATAGTAAGTTATCTAAATAATGAAAATAACCTCTAAATCATCAAGTTCAAGCTCGTTCAGCCGCTCAGTCTCTGATTTTACTCTATTAGAATATCTGGAAAGAGTAAATAAATGTTAAAAGACGCTACTATAAGCCTTGCCGGGGGGGGGGGGGGGGGGGGGTGTTGAAAAGACCATATTCATGTCCTGTGCATGGTTGAAAAAAAAATGGCAAGCAATCACCTCATATAGAGCTCCATAAGCCGGTCTATCTTTTCACATTCATTTTCCACGAATTTACTAAACAATCTTTCCCTTCTAGAACCCCTCAAAATTCCACCTGTTATAACAAGATAACAATCATTATGGAAAACACACCAAAATACAAACTACAAAAAGGCATGAAAAATTAAGATCATTGTGATGTAGAAGAATGCATTCCTGGTCAATATTTGAGCATTTGTAACCAAATCGCAATCTCTAAAACAATTTATAAACAATGTTCGAACTATCCACGGTAAGATAGACAGGATTTCATAGTAGAATTAGAATGATCTCCAAAACTAACCAAGGCCACTAGGAAATATTCCTCTTCTGCCCCAAAATGGATATTACATATTATCCAAATTACATACTTCCCTTGACATTTACACAAGAAGGTTTTGTCAGTTGTATACAGAGTCATGACATCTTGCCATTGTAACTTGTAGAGCAATGACAGTTAACAAAGACTGTAAAATACTCAATTGATGGAGCTACACCTACATTTATCATAATTGAGAGGGGGAAAAGGTGCATGCTTCTCTAAGAACTTAATATGACTGTCATACTTCATCATTGAAAACAAAACAAAAAACTCCAAGCTTTCAAATTCACTTGCCTTCTTACCAAATAATGATGCAATTAGCGATACAAGGCGCTCTTCCAACTCCTCTTTGTAGCCTTTTTTCTTATTCTTCTTGTTTATAGGAATCTGGACAGTAAGGAAAAAAACAAAGGATAAGAACAGTTAAACACACTAAGATTATCACCTTTAATTAAGACACAACCAAGAGGATTAAAGAAACCAAATAGACTCATAAAAGTGCAGATCTTAACACACTAGTTCTGTAACCAAAGGAAAAGAAATAAACAAATCATATTTTAAAGAATTCACCAACCAAAGAACACTTTAAGAAAAGGAATATAATTGCAATGATCTATGAAAAGCAGCAAGCTAGACAGCAGTAAATAGATACAGGTAATCATTTTTCAATGGTGAATCAGTCTCTGTCATGTTGTGCCAAGCTTGAAGTCTACTGAAGTGTTTATTGGAGAAGTGTGAATTTAAAATATCAATCTGGTTTTTTAAAACCTCAAACATAAACTTGATGAAGAATTGAAAGGTCTGCCATGTTCAAACTAAGAAGAGGAGGATAACATTATAATCATTGTGCAGAGAGGACGCAGATTGTTGCCATAATATTTTCATGCCAAAGGTGTTAATTTCAAGCCTTTCAATCACAGATCAGCAGAGAACAGAATGAGAATGATGCATGAAGATGGAGTTTGACTAATGGAGGAAAGAGAGAACTTTTCCAGAAAAAGGTCCAACAAGGATAGGGATGGATAATGGGCTCTAGAACTTCAATGACTATTTTGTTCTATTAGAGTGGAAGAATGAGGCTTATACCCAAGAACTATGAATCATAAGAGTAGCTTTCTGGTTACAAACTTTAGCAAGAACAAATTCAATGGCAAGGGAAGTGTTTTTCTTTATTTTATTTTTTATTTTTTTATTTTTGTGCTTCATAAGTAAAGAATATATAGGGCTGGTGGTGATGTTTGTGTTTTGGTGGTTAGTAGCTTGCTATTGTATTTTGGTATAGCTCCTAAGTCATGATGTGATACTTCGACCTGTCTATCAAAACACCTTTTACCCTCTTCCTGTCCCTTTTCCCTTTTCCCCCTTTTTTTTTTCACCCTTTAAAAAAAATTGGTTTTCAAGTATTCTGGTTTACCGATTGTTTATTGTTTGTTTCTCGTTTGTTTCTCAACACAACAAACCACTTTTGACTAAGGCTCATGTTTTACAAATATAAAAATCAAAACAAAGAAAAACCTTATAAAAAGTCCTCAGAAACATAAACAAACATAACTTTTTGACACAACGATTACTGACCCGTTCCCACAAGTTTAGACTTACTCCTGTACCTCTTTCCTGCAACATAGGCCATAAGGTCAATGTGTGTGTTTATATGGCCATCTACACTCCACTCCGTGAAAACCCTAACAATCAAAGGAATCCTCCTCACTGTAATGTGTCCAATACTGTATAAGAGGGGAATGTTGAACCTTCCGCTTCTACAACAACAAGCGATAAACCTTATTTGGAACATATAACACTTGATCTTTACTATTCTTCCACATAAAACCTGATAATTTGATAGAGAAACCGGATTCATTTGATTTTCTTTTCCAACTAATGAGTTGGTAAAATCAACTAGGCCCAATTCATGATGAATACCAGCCTATATATCAATGCAAGAATTGAAAACAATACCAGTGGAAAGGTGACATTTTTTTCTACTAAGGGAAATCTGGTTCTAGACTAAATTTATAGGCACCAATAATCAGAAGCTATCCCTAAGCAACGAACAATAATTAAGACAACAAAGAATAGGGCAAATGTGTAGTGCAAAATATCATTGGAATATGGAACCGGGTCTTTCAATTCTTTAAACCAATATTTGAAAGAAAGTACTTTCAAGTAGTTGGCATGGTGGTATATGTGACATTCACCTCTAACACAAGATTTTGGCTTCCGTCTCCAAGGTTCACTTCTTACACTAACAAAGTTATGGAATTTGATTCATCAACCAAGCAACAAACTAATGAACTAAAAGAGACCTACTCAATTATACAAAATGTAAAAAGGGAAACTGGAACTTGCCTTACCCATGAAAGCAGGAAATGCAGTCTTCAACCCCATCACGTCCACGAATCGTTCGCAAGCCGGTGGATAATTCGTCATTGCAAAATCAAGTGCCCTAATTGCAGACCCATAACACGATTTCTTCGAATTCATGACAATGATCATCAATTCCACTCCTTCAGCCTTCACAAACCTCTCCTTATTCTCCAAAGGCATCAACAAACAACACAAGCAATCAAACAAATTCTCCACCATCTCCTCCTCGTCCTGCGTCTTGGGATCCCTCGATTTATACATCGCCACCGCCTGCAAAACCACATCAACTCCATTTATCTGCCCTAATCTCTTCTGATTCGCGGTACTATTCTGCAACAAAATGGCCAGAATCTCCGAAGCATACTGTTTATTACCATCAAACTCTCTAATTTTGATTTTGCTTAGTAACCATCTCATCAATTTGGTCCTCTCGCACACCATCTCGGCCACCGCAGGCTTCACCTCTATCAAATTCTCGATCGTCGCGAGCGTGACGTACACAGCAGCCATCTCATCCGGATCGGTCTCGGACAATCTGAGCAAATTCTGAACAAGCAATTCCAAGACGTTGTTTTCGACGAGAGCGTCGACGAGGACTTGAGCTGGCTCGTCGTTGTCCTCCAACACGTCCTCGTCGGTCAAGTCCTGGAGCAAGCCGACCACGTCGACGGCGATGTCGGTGTTGTCGTGAGTGAGGAGGCCGAGAATTGAGGGAATGGCGTTGAGATTGACGAGTTCGGGGTATAGTTCGGGGCCGCCGGCGAGGATTTTGAGCTTCTGGATCTCTTCGTGGAGCTCGATTTCGGAGTCGGCGAACTTTTCGGGCTGGTCGGGGTACTTGAGGCGGGCTTCGATATTGTCCTTGAGGCGTCGCTCGAAGGAGAGGACGTGTTTTTTTAGGGTTTTCAGGTCGAGGACTTCGACGGCGTTGTGGGATTTCTCGACGGCTTCGAGGAGAGCGAGGTCGACGCCGTTGTCGTAGCGGGCGGTGGGTGGTGGTGGTGCGAGGAATGAATCGTCATCCTCGTCGGCGGCGGAGGCTCGCTTGCGTTTGGGGGCGTGGTTTCGAGCGCCGGCGACTTCCATCGTGTGTTGTTTGGTTTGAAGGAAATTTTTTCTAAAACCCTAGTTGTTTTTTTCTCAGAGGCGAGGAGAAGCCCGGTGGTGTTGCAACCTGGTATTGATGAACGGGTCGGGTTGTATGGGTCACGATTTTTTAAAAATCAAATTGATTTTAGACTATAAACTTTTTGGCTACCCCATAAATAAATTAGTCATTAGGTTACTGGCTTATTTAAGTTATATTATTTTTTATTTTTTATAATAAATAAAAAAATTAACTTATAAATTATATCAAAAATAATTTTAAATTAAGTCAATTATTTTATAGAAACGAATCAAATCAATTCATTTAAATTTAAATAGAAACGAATCAAATCAATTCATTTAAATTTAAATTGGTTCAAGTTAAATTATGATTTTATTTACATTATATTGCCATATTAAAAAAATATTCAAAGAAAAATTCTCCATCACTCCATTGTCTATGGTTGTGTAATTATCCCCTCTTAAGATCATACACATGCACCAATAAATACCAACAGCGACCAGTACTGTTAACACAATTTGTCGTTGTCGCCGTCTCCTCTCACTCTCATTGCCATTGCCAACCCTTTCCTGTTTCACTAAACCTCTCCAAGCAAGACATAAGTTGGCAACACTGCAAAGATACAAAACTAGCTCGCCTGCAAAACTATTACAACCAAACTAATATTAGTAATAAAGCAATCGAATAAGATGGTAGGCATAAGGGTTTTGCCAGGAAAATCGCACTACATTAACTACTACTTGCAAATGCCAAAAAAAATGCTTGCTATGGCAAGATAAAGAGGCAGAAAAAAATATTAGTAATTCTAGTGACGAATTTGACAAAGATGCTACAATTTTCCTTGTTGAGAGGGGCTTGGATTTGATTTCGATGATGGATGGCCTTTTCATTTTAATAAAGACACAACAAGAATATGTCATGGGGTTTTGATTTTTTGGAGTTTTGTGTGGGTAACGATGCTAGTTAGGAATGGCAACGGGGCAGGATGGGACGGGGCCGGGGATCACACTTCCCGTCCCCGATCCCCGATGGTAACATTTTTCCCGTCCTCGGTCCCGATTCCCGACGGGAAACCTATCACCGTCCCCATCCCCGTCCCCTAACGAGGATCGGGTTTCCCTGACCCCAAAAATTCTCTGGTCCATAAAAAAAAAAAAAAAACCTCATTACAGCAGATCAACAACATCATCAAACAATAGATCAACTCAACGACATCATACATCAAAAACAGATCATCTATACTTACACAACAAATCAACAAAATACATAACAAATCAAAAAAATAAAAATTAGAGAGATGGTAAGATCTGAGAAGTACAACTCAAAAAGATATATCAGATAGATGGTGTTGGCAGCGAAGGGAAAGGCAGCGTTGTGACGTTGACGGCAGAGATGGTGTCGCCGCGAAGAGAAAGGCGTTGACGTTGACGGATGGAAAAAGGTGTTGAAGTCCGGCAGCGAAGGGAAAGGTGTCGCCGTGATGTTCTTGAGGAGGGAGATCGGCGAGGTCGGCGAGATCTGAAATCGACGAGGTCGGCGAGATTGGAAGAGAGAGAGGATAGCTGATGAGCCACCGCCGTCGACGCCGTGAGGAACACCTACAACAGAGAAAGAGAGAGAGAGGGAGAGGAGGAGAGGCTGAGAGGAGAGGAGAGAAGAGAAGTGAGTGTGAGTGAGTGGGAGAGAGAGGCAGACTTAACGCTAGACATATATATATATACGAGAAATTTGGAGAATATTCGGAGAATTAGTCGGGGTTTATCCAGGGCGGGGCCGCGACGAGGGAAACCTATCCTCGTCCTCGGCCCAAAAACCATCGGGGATTTAATTTTTAATACCATCCCCGGTCCTATGGGGATAATTTTCGGAAAAAACCCGCTCTTATCGGGGTCGAGGGATCGAGTCCCCGTCGGGCCAGGTTCAAATTGCCATCCCTAATGGTAGTAAGGGGTGTACGTAATGGTGGGATGGGCGCTACAAAATAGCGGTAGTTAGGTGTTGGTTGTTAAGGATGTACGTGATGGTCAACAAGTCGTGGTGTGCAAATGAGAAGGTTGTGGGCATCAAGTGGCAGTTGTTGAAATTTGAGGAGAAAATAAGAGGTGACAATGGTAGGAAGTTGTAGCTATTGGAAAATGGCTTTGAATTTTATTTTTTTATATTTTTTTGCTAATTTTGAGTATTAATTAAAGCGGGATCCAAGCGTTATTTTTAACGTTTTTCATTGGGTTCATGTTTAATGTCGCGTAGTGAATAAAACTGTGTATTTGGTTGCTCAAAACCATTTCCGGATGAATGAGAATTCAACGAGCAATTTCGGGTTCGTGGAAATGGCTTTAGGTGGCTTTCCTACACATATGTGTTTGTCCCACATTGGAAAGACTTATGGATTTGTGTGGGTTTATATACCTTAGCTTGGGATATTTGGGATGGGCCACAAGGGGTACCCAAGTTTATGGAAGGAGTGAGGTTATGGGTAAAGTGGGTTAGACCCATTGGACCCAAAACAAAAACCACATGCGCATGTCACCGTCTGTCCGGGCCTGGGCCTGGGCCTAGGCGCGAGTGCATGGTGTAACGTTAGGTTAGGTTTGTTCGGCCCAATACTTATCTTTTTGGGCCAAAAACATTTGTAATTTATTTATTTATTTTTAATTTTGGTTTCAAAATTCAAAATAAATTGGTCCAGTTTTCTTTTTTTTCCCAAACACATCTGAATAGGTCAGAAAGTCCACCCGAACAAGTGTAATTTCTACCCGAACAGAACTGTTTCTGTTCTGAACAAATCTGTTACTATTCCGAACAGGTTTTTCCTATTGGTACCTGTTCTATATAGCCACCACATTTCCTATAAATAGCCTCTAGTCCAACATTTCATTCCATCAAATTTTTGGAGAGCTTTTCTTTTTTCTTCTTCCTCTTTTCGTCCTTCTATCTTTGCATCCGTTCTGCATTTTATTTTAGGAAAAAAAAGGAAAAGTTACAACGGAGTTTTGGTTCGCCAGACTTGATTTTGTAGTACTGCAAATTCAAGTGTTAATCGTTGCATCTTGGGAAGCAGATGCTGATTAAAACTCGAAGCACCGGAGCGAGAGCGAAGTCCACTTTAAGGAGATTGTGTCCAACACAAGCCTCGACTTTAATTTCTATAAGCAGTTAATTCGAAATTTAATTTATATAATTATTTTTTGAATTATTTTATTTTGTTGTTTATTTTAATTATATATTTAATTTACACATACACACCTCACTGTGGAGATGACAATCTTAAAGTAGATTTTCCGATTTTTATTTATTTTTGTGTTAGATAGACGAATATTTTGTTTCGGGAAATTAAATAGTAGTCATATACTTTTTAATTTCTTAAATAGTAGTAATATAATGTTTAATGATTTCTTTGATAACATAGTAGTAATATACTGTTTATCATTGAAATTTTGTTACAAAATATTTTCTATCTATTTTGTGTGTAAATTCTTTTCTATATAATTTTATGATTGGTGTATTATTATTTCGTTAGATTTATGACAACTGAAATAAACAATACTGAGACTGTTATTACTCCGACCCCCACACCTGTTGTGGTAGTGATGACTCCGGTAGTACCAGTAAATCATGGGGAGATGCCAGAAAAATTCAATGGAAATTATTTTAAAAGATGGCAATAAAAGATGATATTTTATCTTACCACATTGAATTTGGCTCGCTTCGCATATGAAAAAACTCCAGCACTGAACAAGAGAGAAACTGACTGGCAAGTGTTTACCGCAGTCGATGCGTAGAAACATTGTGATTTTCTGTGTCGAAATTATATCCTCAATGGGTTGGACAATACACTATACAATGTGTATAATGTCAAAAGCACTGCTAAAGAACTGCGGGAATCTCTAGATCATAAATATAAGACAAAGGATGCCGGTACAAAGAAATTTGTTGTAAGTCGTTTTCTGAATTTTAAAATGATAGATTCCAAGACGGTTATTAGCCAGGCTCAAGATCTCCAATTAATTCTCCGTGACATACATGCGGAATGGATGGTTCTCAGTGAATCTTTCCAAGTAGTGACAATCATTGAAAAATTGCCACCATCTTGGAAAGAATTCAAGAATTATCTGAAGTATAAATGTAAGGAGATGAAGTTGGAGGAACTGATAGTGCGGCTCAGGATTGAGGAGGACAACCGTGGTTCCGACAAGAAATTAGGAAACATGTCATGCAAGCTAAAGCAAATGTTGTGAAACATGAACATGGGTCAAAGTTCAATAACAAGAAGTGAAAGCATTATGGCAATGGTCCCAAACAAGGATCCACTAGTAAGATCAATAAAGGGATCAACAACGGGTTTAACAAGAGGTTCAAAAGCAAGTGTTTTGTGTACGACAAAGATGGACATCGAGCTAAAGATTGTCACGTTCGCAAGGATGGAGGGAGTTCAAGCAAAAAGCCAGTACAAGCGAACATAGCCGAGGATTTTTATCTTTCCAATGAAGTGGCAGACATCAATCTTGCTACAATAGTCTCTGAAGCAAATTTGGTGGGCAATCCCAAGGAGTGGTAGGTGAATACTGGAGCATCTTGTCATATCTGTGCAGATAAGAAGATGTTCACAACCTACAAAGTGGTAGAAAATAGGGAATAACTTTTTATGGAAAACTTCTCCAGTTCAACCGTAGAAGGACAAGGAAAGATCATGCTGAAAATGACCTCGAGAAAAGAACTCACTCTTAATAATGTACTCCATGTACCAAAAATTCGCAAGAATTTGATATCTAGGTCGTTGTTAATCAAGAATAGGTTTAAATTAGTTTTTGAATCTAACAAAGTTGTACTCTCCAAGAGTGGCATGTATTTAGGGCAAGGTTATATGAGTAATAGCCTTTTTCAGCTCAATATAAATACTGTTGTACATAATTTGGTTATTAATAATAAAAACACATCTTCTGTTTATATTGCTAAGTTTTCTTTTTTATGGCATGGTAGATTAGGACATGTTAATTTTAATTCTTTGCGTAGACTTGTTTCTTTAGAATGTTTACCAAACTTAGAGTTTGATCCTAATCATAAATGTGAGATTTGTGTTGAGGCAAAAC